AGGGATCAAATTGAACGACGCCTGGTGATGTGCGGAACAGGCAGGACGATTACGATGCGTACATGCCTGGGGGATGACCATTTTCAGATACACGGGGGAGTCTCTGATGGAGACCTACATACCCGCCTCAGGGCATACGATCCAAATGATGATACAGCGACCCGGAAGACATATCGCGATCTTGAGGCGTTGCACCAACAGATGTCACGGTATAGTCTGCCACGAAGCTGTCACCATTACCACAACCGACCCCACGGTCGCCACCCCATGGGGACCCTTTCGCCGCGGTCGACGCAAACGACATCCGGTTGCAGGGGGCCAACTGGATGGCTACTAAGTTGGTTTGTTGAGGCGCGGTCGTGGCTGCCTATATAAGACGGAGAGCCGGGGAGAATCGGGGAATTCCGCTTCACACCCAGGCACCGCAGGCACGACCACGACAAAATCATAGTAAACTTCTAAACATGGTAACAACGTGCTTTCTCTTATTCTTGTGCTTTGACTTAACGTTGTAACATAGTCATACTATTCGCAAGCTGTCAAAGACGCACTACACATGCAGGAAGTACGCGTTAACAACGGTAGAAACAGCGCTTGTATGCCGGGAACGGACTAGGTTTCCGCATCCACTCCAGATTTCGGAGTGACTGCAGAACACGCGTAGAATGCGTCTCTCGTGCCCATGCCGAACCAACAGCACACACACTGCCATCACAAGAACATCATCCTGCGCCTACTATAGTGACGTCAATGTCCACTGTACGCATGCTGCTGCTCGAGCTCATTAACATGATATCGAGTGATAAAACCCCCCATAATCCAACACCAACCCGTTAAAATCTAATTTATTTCCATAATTTGATATGTATTTATTGTATTACAATCGTTTTTTAAATAAAATCACGAGTTATTATAACGTAAAAATACGTCAAAGTTGAAATGTGCCGTTTTCCTCATTTATGTCACTTTTTGGTCACGTGACTACTATCGCTGGCCCGCCCCCCGACCAAGAGCATCGCCAGTGTTTTAATATTGAAAATGTCGCAAAGCTTCAATTTCTAGGAGAACCTGCGAAAAGATTTTCTCAATTCGGTGCGGAATCGAATCAATAGTAACTATGTAGCGATGCTCCGCTCGAGCTCATTAATTAGGCCATTATAAATAGGCGTTATAAACGCATGTGCGAGACGAAACGCGTTGTCAGCGCATATGGTAGCTCGCTGCGATAAACCCCCCATTTTTGAAGCATTCAAATTAATCCTTCCACAGTATAGTCGCCGCTGATGGTGTTTTGATGAATACCGGTCGTGGCTTGTCGCGTGCATGGTAGCACCAAGTATAAGCGACACTCATACCGCACCCACTGTCCGCATCTAACTGTTGCGTCCCTCGGGCTTGCATCGTGCCGCTGCCACCAACGCGGTGGCGTTACACGAGGTTGATGGATGGTGGGAGGCGCGAGGCGGTAGCTGACCACACTCAACATTCTTGAGCCGTTACTAGGACTCACCCCTGGCGAGCCCACCGTATGCCAGCCGGGCTATATGTTCGGGGACGACCGCGTTCGTCATCCCGGCTGGGCATGCCGCATAATTTCCTGGCTGGAGAGTCGTCTGCCTGCCGCCGCATTTCCAGTCCAGTATTTCTGGGTCCGTCCGGGATCCACGCCCTAAGCATTTCAGCTTCAAGCGTTCGCAAATCCCGTCAACTACGCGCCGCCGACAGTCGCCGAGCAGTGCGGACGCAGCGACCGATCCGTGTACCCCTTCCTGGTCCATGATGAGCTCCAACAGGGGGACATCGGCGGGGTAGTCGGTGTCCCCTGCGTGCCGCATCTCGTCGTAGCACCGAGCTGCGTCGTCTCCTCCGTCCGGGTGAAGGCGAGCCACGAGTCCGGCGCTAGGTGGGAGTATTCGGGAGGGATCTCCCAACAGTCCTCCCACCCCTGCCATTTCTCGTGGTCTGCTAGCGGAGCGTAGACGTGCGGCTCCCCTTGCGCCTCCTCCAGCTCGTTGGCTGTCGCCTCTCTCTCTCTCCGGAGCTTCTCCTCCCTCAATTGCTGCAGGTAGGCCTGCCACGAGGCCTCCTCCTCAGCCTTCTGCGCTGCGTCGTTCTTGGCCTGCATCTGCAGGCTTTCGGCTGCCTCCGCTCCGTACAGCGAGCTGCCGTTCATGGCGTCGGCCGTGCTGTCGGGTTCCGCCGGAACGTCGGCGGTGAGGTTGCCGTACACCGCTTCCCACGTCATTGCGTGTTCTCTGGGTGCCATGGTGTTGTTGTTGTTGTTGTTGTTGTTGTTGTTGTTGTTGTCGTATACATCATTGGAATGGTGATATACTTATTGTAATACGTAGCATTGTGAGCAAAAATATGAAAGGAAAGGCATGCCGTTTATTCATGGTTGTACCAAAAATTCATGGTTTATTCATGGTTTGGCCAAAAATTCTCTTTCTTCTTAACATTCTCGAACGTAAATCGTCCCGCACTCCTGACACCGCGGCTGCACTCTGTCTCCTCGCGCGTCCGTGCGAAGGTAAAGTCGCGCGCGCGTAGTCTATCCGTCGTCGTCTTGATCGGAAACTAATGTTCAAGTGGCGCGTCGCGTTGCGATGGCGGGTTCCAGCGTCAACCATGGTCATCATCTGATCGACGGATACGCGCAGTTGCCGTAACCGCGGCAACCGCCAGTTGGATCGCCGAGCGATTCGTTCGGTCCCGGAGGCAGGGTGCCGCTCCTCTCCTCTTCATGTTGTAACAGTCTTTTCCTTATTCTACGAAGGATGTGAGTACGTATCACCGTGGGCTTTAAATTAAACCCCACGTGAGACGGCGTGATCGTAACTATTCGTAGTGTAATGATTGGATTTATTCTACTCGTATACGTGTACTCTCGTGGGTGTTGGTGTGTGTGTGTGTGATCGTGTGTGTGTGTGTGTGTGTGTCTCGTGTGTATAATGTATACCATGCGATGTTCTAACCCTAAGGTCCTCGCTTGGTGCGGGTAATTACGAATTAATTACCCTGAGGTTAGCATAAAATAGTAGGCAGACAAGACGTGTACGTACAACAATATATATAAGTCTATTTTCCTTGTCACCAATTAAAGACAAGCATACAGGGGTTCGTCGTGTTAGTAAAACCCGCAAACGGTGCACGCTTCGCCGCGTGACTACAGTGGTTAGTTAAATGTACAATATACGTATTTTAACTAGTGCTACGTCTCTCTCACTATGCTTAGTGTACGGCACCTCGAATGTACTACTTGCTTCTCATAAACTATCAAAAGAGTTGATGTATATTATAAGGTAGACGCTTCCTACCCGTAATCGTATCAGTGGTTACGCGTGAGTGTGTTGAATACACCCTTGCTAGCGTCTAGATGAATGCAGATAATAAACAATAGATGAGGCAAAATTCCTTGCTGTGATAAGTGACGGATCTACAGATTCCTCATCAAAGGAAGCCGAAATTTTATTCCTCCGGACGTCCGTCAAGTGTCAGGTAAATATATATGAGCTTTTAAGTGTCATTGAACACAAATTGTAGTAACATGGTAACAATTGAGTTCCATATAAGACGTAATCGAAAACAAACGATTTTTTAAGCCTGAACAGTCGGTTGATCACAGGTAAAGGCAGGTGTTTTTTCAATTTAAAAAAATCTACATTTTTTGTGGGTACCGTCCAGTTCATTTGATTCAACCCGGTCATGCACTCATAATAAATATTGTTCTAAAATAAGCCAGTTCGTAGGCCCTAGTTACGTATTATCAGGAGTAGATAATAGAAAATTCCCTATTATCTACTCCTGGTATTATTTATGTGCAAGTGTGCGTGCGGGCGTACGTGCGTGCACGTACACGTTCGCGCGTGCGTGCGTGCACGTACACGTTCGCGCGTGCGTGCGTGCACGTACACGTTCGCGCGTACGTGCGTGCGTGTGCACGTACGCGTGCGGGCGTGCGCACGTACACATGCGTTCGTGTACACATACGTGACATAATACATGTACATCATGTACATATACGTTACAGAACTGAGAGCGCACACCGCACTCGAGATTTCATCGATTTTTGTTACAAATGACCCGGTGACGTGTGACGTCACACACCGCTTGGCTAACTACGAACTGGCTTATTGATATGAATACATTGTGATCTCCCATGTTCTGTAGGTGTCTACATACTTTGTTGGGATCAAAAATGTGGCGCGTGGAGATGCCGACACTATCAGCCGAGCAATCACAGGCCTGATGAGCGAAAGGTTTGGGGAGGCATGGAAGTCAAAGCTTGTGGCCACCGGAACGGATGGAGCCGCTGTGATGATGGGAAAGAAGGCAGGCGTTGTACAAAAACTGAAGGAGGCGACAAGCGACCATGTAGTCGCAATACATTGCTCAGCACATCGGTAAGTCTATGAAGTTTACGGCAATGTAACCAGATATAAGGGAAAGATAATTACCATTAAGAAATTAATGTATGCAATATGTCACATTTGTTTGATTTTAATAATATTATTATAATTAAATAACAGGTTAGAACTCGCATATAAAGATGCAGTGAAGGAGTCCAAGATGCAGCAGAAATGCGACAGCCTGCTACTGAACCTTTACCTCTTCTACAAGTAAGTATAAAGGCATGAATCTGACAAAATATGCAATACTAAAAAATTGTAAACTTATTCTTTTATATTAATTTTATTTATGCATTTTCAGTCAGACGTCCTGCCAATTAAGCTTGAATGGCAATGCAATCTGTAAATTTCTTATTACAGATACAGTCCATTAAACAGAGCAAACTTGCGAGCATCTTTCCGTGCTCTGGGACAGAAAATGCTAGTGCCTACCAGAGTAGGAGGGACACGGTGGCTGCCACACACGAAGCGCGCCCTTCATAATGTGTTAACGGGCTACGATGCCATTGTCCAACACCTTGAGCAGGTATCAGAAACATTATTATTAATAATTTTTGATTATAA